CAAATGATATGGGGCTAACCAATGGCATGATAATGGTATAATAGCAAGTACCAATAAAGGAATATTTGCTTGAAATAATCTTCATAAGTCCACATAAAGAGCAATATAACAGGTAATTCTAAAAGTGATAGTCTGGCTTCATTTGCGCAGCCAGATGTTCCTTGTGAGAGGATTTGAGGAGCCAGCCCAATGTCATATTTGCCTCCTTGGTACTCACGTCTTGAGCTGTGTTATGAAGTGTACGTTATCAAGCATTTCACTATCCTTTTAGTCTGCATTGTAAATATATAGTGATAAAAAGAACCGAAATAATGCTTCGGTAAATAACCTGTGATCTGATATCGAAGCAGGGCCGGATCAGCATAACTAGAGAAATATCACTAGATGCAACCTTTTAAATAGTTCATCAGGTAACACCAAGAATTGAAAAAAGAGCTCAAAATAGGTGTATATAATGCATGGGGAATAAGGAAACTCAAAATATCGCATTAGAGTACACATGACGCCAACAGGAAAATGCATATGAAAACTTTGAATAATAGTTAAATAAAATAGAAGTAGTGAACCAGGTAAATTTGTAGTATCCTTTTGCAAAACTAGTTATCCACTACAAATTTACGGAGTGACATTTTCAAATGAAAGAGACATCATTTCGTTTTATTAAAATACAAGCTTTGAGTAAAAACTAACAAATTAATCACTCATTTATATTCAGTATATTGAGGACGAAATAGCAAGAAATAGCAAAAAAAAAAACAATGACAATTTGCGGTATTAATAAACAGTAAGAGCACATTGTACACCGGATTATAAGAAATATATTGAAAAAATATTCAGATTCTGTTCAAAAAATGATTGGTTTACGTAAACCAAAAAAGATTATCAAAAAGCGATAAGCTTACTTTAAGCCTATCTAAATTATCTTTGAGAAGAAAATAAAAACTCAAAGGAATGGTAGAGAAACATAAGAATGTGGAAGAACAAACATTATTCCCAAAGGCATAATAAAGATTAAAGAAATCAAGTATGGCAAAGATAATCAGCTAAAAATAAGATCTTTAGTCCCATTAAAAATAGACTGGAAGAGACTAAGAAGGACAAGAAATACTCTTCATAAAACCCATAAGTTAGTCACGCAAGAAAGCAAACTTTTGTAGAGAATGGAGTTCACGATAGTGAAGAGTTCAACTCCAATTTATCAGGGGATTTGTCAGAGTGACTACTGGGTTTCACGATAGATCATAGAGCAAAGTTAATTCTGTCAACGATAGTGAAGATAGGAATTTGCCTCTACAACTAGTGGGAGTTTTATCTGTCCTCAAAATAGCCCTGGATTGTTTTAAGCATATATAAAAGCCGGTTGGTTTGAAAGGTTGCATAGAAAAATGATAAGCGAGCTTCTCCAAGTTAATTAAGAATAACAATAGACACGAAGATGAAGAGGTTTCCACCAACGGCATTTTGATGCTATATTGCAATTCTATCATAACTCTAGGATTTAACCAAAGGCAAAGTGAAAATTATGAGAGGGCAGGTAGGAATACACACATGCACAAGTGAGGCAGGGAGATCGAGAGATGAAGAAGATAAATTATAGAAAGAATAAAAGTTTTAACCAACTGGGTCATGAAGCATGCGTTGGCAAAAGTGTCA